TATGTGCTGACCACATCAGATTTTTTGTTTATCTGTCGTCAGTTTTTTATACCCTGCACTTCGTGAAGGGTATATTAACTTTGGTATGGAGTTTGTAACTACTTGAAGGAGTCATCTGCGGTATGGACATATATATATATTCTTGCTCAGCGTAAAATTCTGCGTCGATTTAGACATGTCCGTCCGTCCGTCCGTCCGTCCGTCCGTCCGTCCGTCCGTCCGTCCGTCCGTCCGATCGCACGATAACTCAAAAACGAATAATGCAATCAACACCAAACTTTCACAAGTTTTTTCTTTTGTGCCAAGGACGAACCCTATTGTTATTGGACTAAGTCGGACAACGGGTTCGGGTAGCTGCCATACAACTCCAAGAAATTATTTTAAATATTTCAAAAACTAATAAAGGTATAACTATAAAATTTTGTATACATGTGTCCAATTATATTCTACACATGCTCTAAAAATTTTAATGGGATAGCTGCACCGGTTCGGGTGGCTGCCATACAACTCCAACAGCAAATTTTTTATATTCGGCAAAATAATAAAGTCGGATTCATGAAACTTGGCAGTTATGTGTCCAATTATAGGTCAAATATATTTCTGAAGTTTTGGAGGAATTGCTTGACAGGTTCGGGTACCTGCCATACAACTCCAGAAGCTAATTTTAAATATTTGGAAAAATAATAAAGTCAGATTCATGAAACTTGGCAGTCATGTGTCCAATTATGGACCAAATATATTTCTGAAATTTTGGTGGAATTGCTTGACAGGTTCGAGTAGCTCCCATACAAGTCTAAAAGCTTATTTTAAATATTTGGAAAAATAATAAAGTCAAATTCATGAGACTTGGCAGTCGTGTGTCCAATTATAGGTCAGACATATTTCTAAAGTTTTGGTGCGATTGCTTGACAGGTTCGAGTAGTTCCCATACAAGTCTAAAAGCTTATTCTTAATATTTAGAAAAATAATAAAGTCAGATTCATGAAACTTGGCAGTTGTGTGTCCGATTATAGATCAAATATATTTGTGAAGTTTTAGTGGAATTGCTTGACAGGTTCGGGTACTTGCATACAACCCTAAAAGCTTATTTTACATATTTGGAAAAATAATAAAGTCAGATTCATGAAACTTGGCAGTCATGTGTCTAATTATGGGTCAAATATATTTCTGAAGTTTTGGTGGAATTGCTTGACAGGTTCGAGTAGCTCCCATACAAGTCTAAAAGCTAATTCTTAATATTTGGAAAAATAATAAAGTCAGATTCATGAAACTTGGTAGTTGTGTGTCCGATTATAGATCAGATATATTTGTGAAGTTTTAGTGGAATTGCTTGACAGGTTCGGGTACTTGCAATACAACTCCAAAAGCTTATTTTACATATTTGGAAAAATAATAAAGGCAGATTCATGAAACTTGGCAGTTGTATGTCGAGTTATAGGTCACATATATTTGTGAAGTTTTGATAGAATTCCTTGACAGGTTCAGGTACTTGCCATACAACTCCAAAAGCTAATTTTAAATATTTGGAAAAATTATAAAGTCAGATTCATGAAACTTGGCAGTCGGGTGTCCAATTATAGGTCAGACATGTCCGTGAAGTTTCTATAGAATGATTTCACAGGTAATTGCTACACAATAACGAAAGGTGCAGGGTATAATTCAATCGGTTTATACCGACTGAAACGTTTTTACTTGTTGTTATACAGTTCGATAATAATGAGTACTTATATGTCATACTTATAGAAAAGGTGATCGTGCTTAAAATTGTCATCATGCATAAAAGATTTTCAGAGTTTTGACATATTTATTTTAAAAGAAGAGCTTCTGAGTATTTTAGCAAAAATTCCATTTAAAAATATACATACATATAATATTAAAATCGTTTGAAGATCTTTTTTTTACCGGTAAAAAATGTTTTAAGTTTCAGAGCATGAACTGAAAATTTTGTTCAATGTCTGTTTTTCAATGTTTACGTTGATTGATGTTTGAAATACGATGCGATTTTAGTTTTTCTTTTTTTCTTGTTTTTGTATGGATGAATTTTTAATTTTTTATTTACACTGCTTTGTTTTCCATTCATTAAATCAAAAGAATTTTTGGATTGAAACGAATTATGAATTTTTTAAATTTTTTCAGTCATTTGTACAGTTTTGAAAGTGCAAGATTGCTGGTTCAAACGACTACTGGTTTCTGTTTTTTGTTTTGTTCTGAATACGTGAAAGAATTGTGTGCTTACGAGTAACTGTTTGCAAAATTTTTATTTTATTTCGTTACCCCAAAATCTGTTATGAATGGTTTGATGAATTTAAGGGTTTCTTTTTCAGAAATTGCATAAAAGTTACAAAAAATATTTACAATAAAAATTCAACACTGTATTTGTTTATAGTTTTTTCGCATAAAAAAGAATAGTTTTCTTAAAAAATTTTTTCTTAATATTTGAACAAGAATTTGCATTATTCATTTAAAGCAGGAAGTTCTAAGTAATAAAAAAAATCCTTTTTCATAAACTTATGTAAATGTCAAGAGTGTAAAGTAAGTTTTTACGTAATTACATAAAACACCGGATGTCGGCTAAGTGTTTATATTTAATATTCATTTAAAAAAATTCCTTATGTGCAACAAGCGATTTATATTTTATGAAACAAAATAAAAAAAAATAAAAAGAAAAAAAGAAGAAAATCACCTTTACTTCCAATTAGAAACTGTGAAATCTAATAAAGTGTTGTTTATGAGAAGAAAAATTTTGTAATAAAAAAGTGTCGCGAATTGAAAAATTGAAGATCTAGATAAAAAATTTTTATGTTGTAGCAAGAGTACCAAGAATGAATTGTAATATTTTAGCAGTTTTTCTCATCATTATTTTTAACTCAACATTTATGTTAGTGCTTACTATAACATTTTATTTAAGTACAATATGACGAAGTTGACATTAAACTATCAATGGATCGTGTCTTAAATTAGAAAAACGACTAAACTACCGAATGTAATGGAAAAGTTAAAGAACTAAAATTGCATTCAAAACAATTAATAAAGAATTGGGGCTTGTCAATGTTTTTATATAGCGCGGTTTCTGCAAACACTACTGTAATTAGAAAAATAAATAATGAAATTTTTGTATTCCATATGCTCGGTTCAACATACAGGTGTAAAAACTTGGACATAAATTGTTTAATAAGAGCTTTTATTATTAGAATCTTCATTTCTCAAAACAATTTGAAGCGTAAGAGGAAGCAAATCTATGAAACAAAATCACAGTATAATTACTAGACCTATTAGAAGACGATGAGACTGTTTTATTCGAGTAAGTGTTAAATTCCCTCTATAATGGTTTAATTCCACCTTTTATACAATTGGCTTGATTTATATTTCTATATGTTTTATCTATAGTTTTTTGCAGCTGACTTCGCTTTTCTCATTACATATGTATGTGCATATCTATATAATCATGTTTCATTGGAATCGCAAATTTTTTTCTTGCACAAGAATTTATGTACGCATAGTCAAATATTTAACGCCTTTTTGCCACTGAATTATTTAAAACATATTGTTCTCTTCCTCTTCTAATTTAATTTTTTTTTGCTTAAAGGAATGATTTTACTTGCACATTAGATCATACAGTCTAGTATCTGTGGCTGTTCAGTTTTCATATAGCCGAATGAATGGAATACATGAATGAAATTTGCAAAAAGAAACAAAAATTTTTTTCTCATATCATGTTTGGGAAGTGAGTTGCCTGCCTTTTCAAATTAATTTTTTTTTTTTGATGAAGTTTATCCAAAAATAGATTGATATTTTGTGTATGAAGGATACATTAACCTTTATCAGACCTCGTTCTAAAAGCAAAAACATTGAAAAGATTTAGAGTGGCGATCATTTTCTCTTATAATTTCTTATTTTAGTTCATGAATGTTTGATTTAAAATTTATTTTTCCTTTCTTGTGTACCAACTACGAATAGACAAGAAAAATATGATGACGTATTGGGTTCATATTTTACCTTTTTAATCCCTGTGCATTAAAAGATGTATGGAAAATAGAAATATTATTTAAGATTGAATTGGCGACATTTATTATGTATCGCAGAGAAAGATAAAGAGGCTTAAGCATACATAATACAGAGTTTCTGTAAAGGAAGATGTCACGTTTAAAAAAAGGTAAAAAAGAACATGCAATATTTTTATTAAAATAAATGAAAATTAGTTTAATATTTAAATACAAATTTATTTACATATGTACATACATATTATGTACTCTATGGCATTTTGTTTAGGTCTACAACTTGTTTCATATAAATTATAATAAATTTAAAATCAAAGAGAAATTGTGGGAATTGTACATATGTATATGTACATACAATACTTATGTATGTAAGCACATATATACTTACTTATTTATGTATGTACACATTTAAAATTTAAATTTAAATTTTATAAAAAATGTTAAATACAAGAAAGCAGATTTTACAAATTGAAATACCTACACTGAATTATAGAACCAAAACTCTTTTCGATTTTGTTCTCGTTTTAATTGATTTTGAAGTCAAAAGCTTTGGAATCCATGCAAAAATTGACGGGTATTTCAAAGGAGTTTTGTCAAAATAGCTTTAAATTTTTAAACCAATTCAGATTCTTCTTAATGTGTAAATTGGTGTAACTTAATTTAAAAAAACCCCTTTTAAGTAAATTTTGACTCTGTTAATTTAGTAAAAAATAATAAAGTCTCGTGGGAGTGTTTCTGTTTCCCAAATTAAATTTTTTGACAAGTTCTATTAATTTTGACATATGTATATTATATTGACCCAATCAAGTTATTTTAAAACTAACGTTCAGACTTACTTATGTATTTATTAAAATTTAATTTTGATATTTTTACAAAGTAGACATTTTTAAAATAAAAATTCAATTATAAGGAGGCCAAAAATTTTATGAATTTTATTTAATTTACAATAATGATTTTAAAATTTACTATTTTGAATTTAATTTAAATTGTTTATATTTTCAGCACTTCGTCTGTTGTCTGGTGTACAAGATATTAATGAAAATGGTGGTCAATTTCCACCTCTTTTTAATATTGCTCCAAGAGCCAACATTGTTGTAAATGCTACATGCGGACAAAATGGTATCGAAGAATATTGTAAATTATTTGAAGCAAATAAATCACATAATAAAATTGATAAATTATCATGGGAAATAAAATGTGATAAATGTTATGATTTGAAGACATTAAATGATAAGAATGAAAGAATAATTCAAAATCATTCAATTGAAAATGTTAAAAATAATGGAAATTCAATGGAAAATGGTTGGTGGCAAAGTCCAACATTATTAAATGGCTATGAATATGAATACGTCACTATCACTATTGATTTGAAACAGGTAAAAATTATAAAAGTAAATAATTGTTATATAATTTTTTTTTGTATTAAAATTTTAAATTGAAATTCTTTTAAATAATTTCGAATGATTTTGCTAAGTAAATGATTGAAACTCGTTAATTAACTAAAAGTCATATAAGGGTGTCCATATTCAGTCAAACATCCTTTTTAGGACATTTCTACTTCTTTGTGTATACATTCGCACACAAACTACTATATTTAATATAATTTTTCTTCTTGTTTATTTCATGTACCTTTATTGTTGATGAAAATTACGTGAAAATTTATTAAAGACAATGTGCTTAAGTGAATGTATTTTATCTTTTGATTATATTTATTTCAGCGATAAAATATCCAACGTGCTGGAATTTTTTGGTTGAATGCTTTAATAAATAAAAATTAAACGAAATATTTAATAAAAAATAAAAATAATTGAAAACACAGTTTTGAAATTGTGTTACTGGTAATGCTGCTATACGTTAGGTATAGCAATTCAATAAATATAAGAATTCTTAGTGTTTTTTATTCACTATTCGTTAAATAAAATAATGGTAAATTGTTAAAAAAAAAAGCAAAACTGGGAAATCAAAATTGGTAATAAGAAAAATTCTTGTTACCAAAAAAGGTGACAATCGCAGGGAATCACAATTTATAGCGATCAAGAATGGTAAATAAAAATGGTTGTTGGTAATTGTGTAGCATAAAAGTCACTTTAAAAAACGGAAAAAAGTTAAATAATTAAAAATGTTAGGGAAGAAGTATATAGTTTTTTTTTTTAGTAAACCAATTAAGCTAATTTCGAAAATATTGGTTTTTAAAAAATAAAGTGAAGGTTTTTTAGAAATAATGAAGTCAAATAAAAAATTGTGACGTGACTTTGCATGCGAAAATAGTGCAAAGTTCATTACAAAGTGCTTTTATTGTTCATTATACTTTACTAGTGTCAATTTAATTTAATTTATGTGCAAATGAATTTATATCGATACCAAATTGCCTTAGTGGTGATTGGAAACTAAAGAAATTTTTAAAAGTTTTGAACATATTGAGTACTTGATTTAATGACATTTGAATTTCGATGAAATTTTAAATGGTTTTTATCTAAAAATATCCAAATTTTTAAGTTTCAATTCTAATTTTCACTATACTTAGCTGTAAGCCGTTCTTCTATTAAAAACCATGCACTTCTTAATGTGGTTCATTTTCTTTTAACTAAGATGTAAAGCTTTTTTTTGTTAGTTCAGAGTAACTGAACCAAAGAAAAAAGAAAGATTTGTTTTGATTTTTTTTGTAGTTAAAACTTTAAAAAGAAATTTATTCCGTTTATTATGTTAATCCTACAAATACATATTGTTTCATCCATATTTTATGAAAGCAATGTGTCCAATAAATAGTGTAATTTAATCCCTTAGGTGTATTGATCTGGTGGAGTATATTAGTATGTTAGTGTTTCGTTGCATTATTGGTTTTGTTGCAACAAAGAAAACACGATTTTGTAAACAAATCGGTACGTGAAAGAAAATTAAATTTTTGAAGACATCCAATACCATTAACAAAACGTCTTTGATATCATTTATTTACAATGAGTCTTTCGATTATTCCATTGAAATAATTATTTAAGATTACCTTTGTATATAGAAAGAGTAAAAGAAAGTCAAACAAAAATCAAGTAAAAATGTACTTGATTTAATGTACATATTATAAATGATCAAATATACAAAACTTTCAACTTCTTTTAAATTTTGTAAGCGATTTGTATACAGTCATCGAAAACTGAATAACTAAATTATTCAATTATAATGTGGAAAATTCGACTAAAAATAATATTGAATGATCTTCCATGAGTTTCAATTAAATATTTTCATTTTTGAATGTTCCAACATCTGGAAAGCCTTCAATTTATTGTAAACAACGAACTTAATTTTTATATTTTTGATTCGGTCATTCGTATATGATGTGTCTTTGTTCTAAACATTAAACGAAAAATAATTTCAAATTGTTGATATTTGAGTTGATATTAAATCTTTGAACTACATATAATTATGTTAAGTTTATAATATATATTGTTCGCTAATATCACAACGATCAACAGGAAATGCACTATTAATAGTAATAGCATTAAATTACTTTTGCATTCAATGGATTTTGACAGACCATAGCAGGGATGATATCGATACATAAATATACGGTATCTGCATATACGATAACACAGGAAGCCCCATTTTTCATTTAAAGATCGGAAATAAAAATAGAAATCTGATGTGTTCAATGCATAAACAGCCGCAATATGTATTGTCTAGTTTAGCGGAATTTTTGCATAAAATTATGAAAATGTCGTTTCATCACTTCTTTGAAATTTTAAGTATAATACTTAGCTAAGCTCTCTTTAGCTTAGTATTAGTTAGAAATAATAAAAAATTGCTTTCTTAGATATGATAAAAAAATGTAAAATCGACCGCTAGTGAAAATTCAGTTTCCGAGCAGTTATAGTAACAATATTGTTGAATTAATTAATCAAAATAAAATGCTGAGGGGCTATACATAATCTCCGGATATATTCCGTTTTTGAGTTTCAATTTTATTCTAAAATTTTAGTTTATGCTAAAATGGAAAAAGTAGCAATTTGGAGGGAATTTAATGGCTTGTGAAGCATGGCACACATTTAGAATGAGCAATGAATAAAAATTGAAAAAAGCGTTAACTTTTAAAGTTGGCGAGTTAAAAATGTTCCTCTGGTAAAGATTTACATATAATGTGAAGAGATTTTCAGCATTACTATTTTAAAGGGTGCAAGAATTTTTTAAAAAGACACATGTATAGTGTTAAAACCTACTAAAAGTAAAAGCATGGCACAAAAAAATACTATACTTGCATACTTAAATACGAAAGGGTTAAAATCGAGTTTCCTTTTCTAAAAGCAATTTTCCCAAAAAAAAAATTCATTTTTTATTTTTATTTTAAAAGTTCAGTTTATTGCCATGCACATAAATGTGTATGTATGTATGTGTTTATTAAATGTGACTGTAATGATTTTTAATAATAAACTGTCAATCAAATTCCAATACTATAAACACATAATTGAAGAATTTAAGTATATTATGTGCATACATAAATATATACGCTTTTGTATGAATGTGCCTACATTTTTGAAATTTTGCGATAGGAAATCATGAAAACCACATGAATTTGTTCAGAATTAGATGTCTTTTGACCATAATTTAATAGATATTGATATATGTATGTATGTATATGTATATATGAAATGTTTGTATGCATTTATGTTTATGTTGTATGCATAAGTCTATCATTTTTTCATATACTAATACATATTTTCTTTTTATACATTTTTTCACTTTTTTTTTTAAACGACATAATATTTTCTTGTGGGAACTTCAATTGATTATTTGATTAGAACTAGGAAATTCTTTATGTTTATGTATGTGTACCGGCACAAAAATATGACATCAAAAGGAAAAAACGAGAAAAAATAAAGTAGACCGTGTCAACTCAGAGACACCCGTACGAATTTGTATGTGCGAGTAAATATGCCATAACTGACTATGAGACAGACTATAATACTACCGTAATAATTTATGCAAAATTTCAATACCATATTTTCAATAATTTCTAAGATATGGCCAAACTACTATTGAAGTTGTATGGCAGCTGCCACAAGGAATCAACAAATTTCATCAACTTTTTATTTCACATAACAGCCGTAATGATACACTTGTTTTCCCGCTATTTCTATATTATAGCTCCAATAATTTCTGATATAATTCCAAATAACTTTTCGAGTTCTATGGCAGCTATCGCAAGTACTCATGATATTTCAACAACATTTAATGAATATAGCTGCCATTTTACCATATTTTATTTTGCTAAATTTGAGTACTGTAGGTTGAACGGTTTTTAAGACATAACCAAATAACTTTTCAAGTTGTATGGCAGCTGCCAGAAGGAGCCAAGCAATTTCGATGACTTTTTTCAAACACAATGGCCCTAATAATATATTATTTTGCGCGAAATTTCAATTATATATAGTCAAATAAATTTTGAAGTTGTATGACAGCACCCATAACCAGTATCTCTATCATGTCCAATTTAAATAGGGTTCTGGCTTTTACCATAATCATCTTTCAAAATATGGGAAACTTAGCCGAATTAGTTTTTGAGCTATTATTCGGACGGAGGGATTAACGGACACACAGACGGACACAAAAAGCTAAATCGACTCAAAATTCAACGCTGATCAAAAACATATGCTTGAGTCTATATCTCAGATTATTATTCCTGGCGTTACAAACGGTAAGGCAAATTTAATATATCCTTCGAACATATGTTCATACGGGTATAATGAGAAAAAATTGATTTTTTTAAAAACAAAGGCTTAAAAAACAATCGTTTTTTATTTATTTTGGTTCTTTAATAATGAAGTCGTGACAACAACTGATAGAAACACGAGTATTAATAATGTAAAATTGGATTTTATTATGTACATCTTTTATGTACGTTATTTTATATGTAGTACTTAAACTCCTCTAAAATCCTTATATATTTTATATAGATCAGCGGTTCTTAAAATTTTTTGTACTTTTGTGGCCAAATATTTTATAAGTTTTTTGCAACCTTGTTGTGATTACAGTTGTATTTCTTAAATTGTCGAAAATTTAATAATTTAAAAAAGATATTCTAGGAAAAAAATTATAATTAAAAATCACTGGTATAACAAAAATTTTAATTATATCATAATGATTTTGGTTCTGCATAAAAACGAAATAATTTAAACAAAAATTTATGTTTGCGGATCACATTTTAAAAATTTGTTTGTATATTTCGTTTTTTACCATTAAGGGCCTAAGTTAGCCTGGTGTATCCTTCGAGGCAACCTTGTTTTTAATATTAAAAATTAAAGTTGAAAATGAATAATTTTTTAGATTAAAATCTAGAAAATGCTTTTCCCATATATTTGCATAATGCAAAAAATAATATTTCAAGTCCATA